CGCGTCTTTGATAATTCACACTGTGTGATTGTCACTCGCGTGAACGAGCACCGATTTGCCTCCGATTTCGGGCATTTGTCGGCAATTTCGCAAAACCTGTCGGCGAGTGAAAAATCAGGCTAAAATCGTACAGTGTGAACTCGGCATAAGACTTATTTAATCTGCGTATAGAACATAAGAATGGAGATATTTGTTTAAATTTTATTTTGTGTTTGACTGTAAAATTGTATATATATACAGTGGGGCAAATAAGTATTTGATACACTGCCGATTTTTCAAGTTTTCCCACTTACAAAGAATGGAGAGATCTGTAATTTGCCCTCCCGTGTAGTTCTAGGCTGATCCCTCACCTTTCTCAGGATCATTGATACTCCACGAGGCGAGATCTTGCATGGAGCCCCAGTCCGAGGGAGATTGACAGTCATCTTGAATTTCTTCCATTTTCTAATAATTGCGCCAACAATTGTTGCCTTCTCACCAAGCTGTTTGCCTATTTTCCTGTAGCCCATCCCAGCCTTGTGCAGGTCTACAATTTTGTCCCTGGTGTCCTTAGACAGCTCTTTGGTCTTGCCCATAGTGGAGAGGTTGGAGTCTGATTGATTAAATGTGTGGACCGGTGACTTTTATACAGGTAACAAGTTCTAACAGGTGCAATTAATACAGGTAATGAGTGGAGGATAGGAGGGCTTCTTAAAGACAAACTAACAGGTCTGTGAGAGCTAGAATTCTTGCTGGTTGGTAGGTGATCAAATACTTATTTCATGCAATAAAATGGAAATTAATTATTAAAAAATCATACAATGTGATTTTCTGGATTTTTTTTTTGATTCTGTCTCTCACAGTCTCTCACACGATGAAAATTACAGATCTCTCCATTCTTTGTAAGTGGGAAAACTTGAAAAATCAGCAGTGTATCAAATACTTATTTGCCCCACTGTATATATATATATATATATATATATATTTGTTGTTTGTCTTAATAAAGTGGGCAAATTAAAAATACAGTGGTTAAATTGAAAAAAAAACAATTCTATTGCTCTGATTTAAAAAAGGTTATAAAAAATGTCAATAATTATCGATACCGAACGAAATGAAACATATATCGTTGATATATTTTTTAGCTATATCGCCCAGCCCTAGGTAGTAGCATAACAAAATTAATCAGCATACCTAATAATTTTCTTTTTTAAAAAAAATTTTACTTTTTTTTTAGCTAGGACACGGTAAATTGATCAAAAGTGACAGTACAACATTTATAATGTTACAAAAGATTTCTATTTCAAATTTTAAACTTTCTATTTATCAAAGAATCCTGAAAAAATGCATCACAGTTTTCACAAAAATATTAAGCAGCAACAATAAATTTCAACATTGTTAATAAGAAGAAATGAGCAGCAAATCAGCATATTAAAATGAATTCCGAAGGAACATGTGACACTGAAGACTGGAGTAATGATGCTGAAAATTCAGCTTTGCATCACAGAAATAAATTACATTTTACGATATATATTTTTTAAAGTTGTAATAATATTAAACAAGAACATTAAAAATCTAACCAACCTCAAACTGTGTAGTCTAAATATTAAAGATGCAACCCAAACGTCTGTTTCCACACTTACATGCTCTTGTGGTCTTTCCCTCAGGGCTCTTCCCAATCTCCATCTACTCTCAACCCTTCAACCCCTGCCTCTGAGCGAACGGTCGCCTGGGTGTCCAACATGCCCCATCTTTCTGCTGACATAGAGAGCTCCCGCATCGACAGAGAAGAATACAAACTCAAGGAGTATTCAAAGAGCATGGACGAGTCGCGTCTGGACAGGGTGTGTTTCTCTCTTATTCTACTAGATGTGTTCACATCGGGGTGAAAAAAGAGATAGTTCACCCAAAAATGAAAATGGTGTAATTTACTCACCCTCATGTTGCTCCAAACCTGTACGAGTTTCTTCCTTCTGATGAACACAAAAATGTTGGTAACCTAAACAGTTGCCAGTTGCCAGTTGCCATTAACTTCTATAATATAGAAGAAAATACTGTGGAAGTCAATTTGGTTCTCAACATTCTTCCAAATATCTTCTTTTGTGTTCAACAGAAGAAAGAAACTCATACAGGTTTGGAGCAACTTGAAAGTGAGTAAATGATGACAGCATTTTAATTTTGGGGCAAACTGTCCGTTTTTGACTGTTTTCAAACTGTTTCTTAGTTCAAACTCGAGCTTGATTCTTGTCTCTGTCCTTATGCACATACACCACAAGACCCTCAGTTGACTGCAGAGTGCACTTGTGTCTCCCACCTCAGCACACAAGTGTCAAGGAAATGCATATCATGTCTTTCACCTCTGTAACAGATGGTGCTGGCAGCCTCATTTATGCATTATTTAAATATCAAATGAACATGAGCAGCCTTTTGCGGTAAACAGACTCCTGGAGAGAGCAGCATGGGCTTTCAATCAGTACGTCCTGGCTGCCCTTGACCCTCTGTTCTCCCCTGTGGAAATTTGTGTAGAGGTGACACACAACCTTTTTTCATTGTTTCACAGTGTTCCTATTAAAGGACAGTTTCATATTCAGCTATGAATCAGCATTTTTTTTGTTTGAAAAATACATTTTCTCATTCCTGTGTGGCTTGAAAGGAGAATTTCGCTAGATTGCATTGACTGTAGTTGCCCACCTAGGCAACATTTCCATGCATGAATGACACATTCCTTGCGGAGAAGCTGTAGGGAGCAAAATCATGCTTGCTTTCTCATTACTGAAAAAACCACACTGTTTCGAAAACGGCTGAGCTACAAAAATATGAAAACATTATTTACTCTTAGTCTTTATTTCTCACAAAAGATGAGTTTTTGAAGAATATCGTGCCTTCAAAATGGTCCCTTTTATATTTTACAGAAGAAAGAAAGGATTTTGGAGTAAGATTAAGTAAATGATCCCAGAATTTTTGTAGTGCCACCAGGCCCGGTTCTTGACAGCTATAGAAGGGTGGGCTGGCAGATATACTGGGTGGGCATTTTTTAGTCGTCATATCATCACATAGTCTAGAAGATATTTATACTGCAGACATTGCTGTATCAACTATGCTATACTAACCATATTACAGTATATGTTCACTGAAAAAAGCTTTCAAATATCATGCACTTTTTTCTTTACTGAATAGTAAAAAAAAAGCCCTTTTTGTTCTCTTTCTCTGGATCATTGTTTCTACACTGGTGACTCTTTTCAACTAACTTTTTTATTTATACCAGACAAGGCCATAATCATGTCTAGAACATTGGAGGGACCAATTGTTTTGAGGAAAATATAAAGACCAGACCACTATGGTAATGGTATTTATTTAAAGAAACTAAATAAATAAAGGATTTACATGGATTTAGGGGAATAAATTAAAAGAAGAGTAAAAGAACAAGAATAAGAATTTTTGTAAAGTAATCAATCTGAACTGCAAATAAGATTTTTATTTTCAAATATGCAGCCATTCAATTTCAGTTGTATTGCTGAAAACGCAAAACAGAAAAATGCTATTGTCGTCATTATGAATTATATGAATCGTGTAAATGGCAGACCTACTTTCCATTCAAAACTGCGGAATTTGACAAAAAAAAGAAAAAGCATAAATAGCTTGCACCACTGGATAGCCTATTTGGTCGTTTATGTCATAGAAGGGGGGCGCTACGTTTTGAGCCAACTGTTGCTATAGTAACAATCACAACTTTCATCCCACAAGCTCTTTACTTTCAGTTTTCATTCTTACATTCAGCATTAACAGCAACAATAAGCCAAAAGTGGTAAGCTTTCAACTGAACTGTATAGCCTACATGCATTTTAGATGCTTATATTATGCTCTTGCCCCGTCCATGCAATGAATGCACGTTATTATATGAGAAGGTTTTTTTTTTTAACCATTAAAACTGCTCAGGTAATTTCAGAGGTAGGCTATGCTACATATTCATGTAGCCTATTAAACTCCCCGTAGCTCACAAACTCGCCGTGATATCTCTGCCCGTTTTCACTAGTCCTCAGCCTCTGCTTTTCTGCAACAGACTGAAGCTCCTTGCATTCAGTTAATAAAAGAAAAATGCTGCAATTTTCTGGTGTTATTGTTGTATGATTGTTGGGGCAGTCTCCAGCTATATCTTAAACTTCTTAAAATACAGTCCACTTCAGATTGATTTTAATTACTGCATAAAAAAATGAACGCAATCTTTATCTAATTCTGATTGGGTGGGCAAGACTGTCATTTGGGTGGGCTTAGCCCACCCCTGCCCATGCCTGGAGCCGGCCCGAGTGCCACCACTTTTAGTTAGTCTCTCACCAAAGCTGTACACTAGGAGTACTTTATTACCTTACTGTCTCAACATTTGATTTTATATTTTTGCATATCTTATTAATATTTTGAAAGTTTATTAAATCCATTTAATAGATAATATCTTGTTACTTGTAGTTTTCACAACTTATTTGGTTTATTTTTTTTACTTTTATTTATTTTTAAATAATTCATTTCCATTACATTTTTTGTTAAATTTAAATTTTATAATTTAAATTTTATTTAATACTTGTATGTGCTTTTAATACTTTTTAAGACTTTGAATACTTTGTTTTGCAGATTTTTGCTTATCTCATTAATATTTTGAAAGTTTATTAAATCCATTTAATAGATAATATCTTGTTACTTGTAGTTCTCACAACTTATTTGGTTTATTTTTTTTAACCTTTATTTATTTTTAAATAATTCATTTCCATTACATTTTTTGTTAAATTTAAATTTTATCATTTTAATTTTATTTAATACTTGTATGTGCTTTTAATACTTTTTAAGACTTTGAATACTTTGTTTTGCAGATTTTTGCATATCTCATTAATATTTTGAAAGTTTATTAAATCCATTTAATAGATAACATCTTGTTACTTGTAGTTTTCACAACTTATTCGGTTTATTTTTTTTATACTTTTATTTCATTTTTTACTTTATTTTATTTTTAAATCATTCATTTTCATTACATTTTTTATTGAATTTAAATTTTATAATTTAAATTTTATTTAATACTTGTATGTGCTTTTAATATGAATATCAGCAGATTTTAATAATATTTTAAAAGTTTATTAAAGCCATTTAATGGATAATATCTTGTTAATTATAATTTTCACAAAAAGATTCAATTAATTTGTAACTATTTTTGATACTTTTATTTTTACTTTTACTTTTAATACACATAACTCTTTTTTCTTTATTCTGTTGTTGCAGATTTTAACAGTAGTTTTAAATTGTATTAAAGCCTTTTAGTGGATAATATCTTGTAAATTATAATTTTTAAACAATTATTTAATGTTTGAACACTTTTAATACATTTAGTTTTTTACTTTCATTTAATTCACATAATTGTATTTTATTATTATTATTTTTTTAATGTAATTTGATACTTTTAAAACTTTTTGACACTTTTAGATACTCACTCACCTACCTCTTACCTTACTGTCTCAAGGAAGCCGTCAAGATGAGGGTAACATCTGCTCTGATAACAGGCCTGCTGTCTTCATCTCTTCTCTGGACGCAGGTGCGTGAATACGAGGAGGAGATCAACTCTCTGAAGGAGCGTCTGATGATGTCGCACCGCAAGCTGGAGGAGTACGAGAGGAGGATGTTAACTCAGGAGCAGCAGACCAATAAAATCCTGCTGCAGTATCAGAGCCGACTGGAGAACAGCGAGAGGAGACTGAGACAGCAGCAGATGGAGAAAGACAACCAGATTAAAGGAATTATTGACAGGTAATATGAAAAAAAAAAGGCTGGAGAAACATTGAGCGGTGGTCATGTGATCACGCTCGCTGTGTAATTACTTCGGTTCCTTCTAAATTAATTTGACAAAGACCCCTTATGTACAGTAATGCTGTTTAGAAATAGTGGCCTGAAAAAGTATTTGTATATTTAAACCAAACTTAAAAATGTCTGAATGTCATTTCATTAGAAAACAAGATCAAAATGTCAAATAAAGTGGCATTAATTAAAAAAAATGTAGCACAAGCGCACCTTTCAAGAAAAGCATTTCATGACAAGTGATAAAACACTATATACACTACCGTAATACACTCAAAAGTTTTAATGTTTTTAAAAGAAGACTCTTATGCTCAAAAATACAGTAAAAAATGTAATAATGTGAAATCTTAACTTAACTTAAAATAACTATTTTCTATTTTAATATATTTTAAAAAGTAATTTATTCCTGTGAGGCAAATCTGAATTTTCAGCATCATTAGTGTCACATGATCCTTCAGAAATCATTCTGATATTCTGATTTGCTGCTCAAGAAACTGATTTTTATCAATGATGAAAACAGTTGTGCTGCTTCACATTTTTGTGGAAACCATGATATATTTTTTTCAAATTTTTTTTTACTGTCACTTTTGATCAGTTTAATGCATCCTTGCTGAATAAAAGTATTAATTTACATTTTAATCATTTTTTATTAAAAATCATTAAATTATTACATTTTATAAAAAATATTATTATTTTATTATTATTATTTTTTTTACATTTTAATTAACTAATTTTTAAATTATTTTTTATTTGTAGATACACTGTTATTTTATATTTCGTTTGATATTCAGACATTTTTTAGAACGATACAGATGTCCAAATGCTTTTTAGGGTCAGTGTGTATATGTTTTATACATTTTATAAGGGGATTTCCAGAGCGACTGCCAATTATGTTGAATTGTCTTGTAATTGCCATGTTGTGTGTCATCACAAAGCTACTTTTAATTGATGAACTGGGTTCATTTCCTTCCTATTGTTGTTTTATTTTGTTTCATTTCATCATTTTTATTACTCTGTAATTTGGATTCTTTTCAGCTTTGTGAATCTACAGAGACCCATCTTCCAATATTTAGTTCACTGTTATAATATACCCACTAGTTGATGAAATGATGATGTAACTTCCTGTAATGCAGCACTTACCACATATTTTGTGTCACAGAGTATATTGCTATTTCGATCCAATTCTAGGGATGAAGACATGGAGTCAAGACACTCAGATGGTGAAGGGAGACCGGGTTCTTACTCCCAAAAGGGCATACAAATATAAATCATCAAGTCTCTTTCTTCCTTGATGTGTATTAGTGCAATACCTCTCTGGAATGATCTCAGGATGAGCGGGATGTGTTTGTAATGGAGGCAGTCGTATGTTTGCAATATATATTTGTTATTTTAAGTGTGGTGCCATCTGCGGAAACAACCTGACATGGACAGACTGTGCTTGAGCTGAAAAGAGAAGGTGGTTCATGAATTGCTAATGTTTAAATAACTTGTTCCGAAAGAGAAATTGCAAAAGCTCTTTCAAGGATCGTTCATCCATTAATCAAAATTCTGTGATTATTTGTTCACCCTCCTCATTCCAAACCTGTATATTAATATTTCAGTGGAACACAAAAGGAAAAATTGTCAAATAAAATATAAATAAATAGTACAGGTTTAAGAATGAGATGAGGTAGTGTAATGCAATAATAATGTTTTTAAACAAGCCTTTATTTGGCTTCTACCTGTTTATCTTGAAAATAGAAAAGGTGCTGGCGATTTCTCTTCCAAATAACCATCAATAATTGTAGCAGAACATCTTGAAAATACCCAGAATCCTCTCTTCCTGAACTGCCTGTTCAAGTTCTCTGCTGCACTTCTCTCTTCACTGTGTTCTGGAACATACTGTGTGATGGAAGTGTCTTACACATCAGAAGAGATCATATCTCAGATGTTCATGTTCTCCATATCTCTATGTGCTATCACAAGAACAGCGCTCTCATGTGTCAACCGCTCCTCATCACATTTGGCTTTCAGTTGTTCAGGCCTTGCAGGAATATCAGTTTCAGTGTCAAGACCATTTGTTTTGATATATGCAATAAAAACTGATATTTCCAAACTTCAGAAACTTTGCTTATATGCATACACAAGCCTCATATATGATTTCTAATATTGAAATTCATGGCTGGATCTCACAAAACCTGATCAAGGTCATGTTTCACTCCAAAAAAAAAGCAAATTATTAATTTAAAGGAACACTCCACTATTTTTGAAAATAGGCTCATTTTCCAACTCCCCTAGAGTTAAACAGTTGAGTTTTACCGTTTTCGAATCCATTCAGCTGATCTCCGGGTCTGCACTTTTAGCTGTAGCTTAGCATAGATCATTGAATCTGATTAGACCGTTAGCATCTCGCTCGAAAACTACCAAAGAGTTTCGATATTTTTCCTATTTAAAACTTGACTCTTCTGTAGTTACATCGTGTACTAAGACCGACGGAAAATGAAAAGTTGCGATTTTGTAGGCCGATATGGCTAGGAACTATACTCTCATTCCTGAAAATAGTCCCCAGCACGCTCTCTGTGCAAGCAGGGGGTCACGTTGGTTATGTTGACGGAAGTTAGCCTATTTTCAGGCGCTGCGTAATATCATTGCGAAAGT